TGAATGTCTCATTTTCATTTTATTCGCATTTACATTCGTTATATTTCAGTTGTAGCCCTTGGCATCTTTATCATCTTTGGTACGGACTTTGCACCATGAGCAAAGTTCAAATGTTATCCGCATCAGGAGTTTGCGTTTTAATTGTATTCCAAAGCGCAATTACACGACTTGGCAAAGTGCCAGGAGCGCTGCGCGCGACACGCGCCGCGCGGACGGCTGTTAGTATAAACGGGATCGGGAGTCTGCGCCGCAAGTTGCATTTTGAGCGCAGTATGGAAGATTCAGCATGTCGTACGGTCCTGGATCTCTAATCCTGCGCATGATCGGAAGGGAAAATGCTACCGTTAATAGCTGGGTGGTGATAGTCACGCACACCCAACTCGTACAATGTGTCTTTAGGGAATGTCTTGCCCATGGTTGCCTTTAATTTGGTTGAAATCTCAGAATTCGCCAAAAACTAAACTAAAAAGCATTCAATTTTTTCATGGAAAAGAACTGTAGTATTACTTGTTGGTGCCCAGAAAATCAGATTCAGATTTGTGAGAATTTCGGGATTCTGTGTCTGGCATATAAGTTGGAAATGGGTACGTCCAAATTGAAAACCTGCATAACTTTGCTCAGATAAGACTTTGGAACGCAGATTTAAAACCAGCTTTCAAATACGCATCTGAAGCATCATTTCGAATGGCCGCTTCGACCAAACAGACACAATAAGTTCGTTCCTTCCTTTCGTGGTTAGCATCAAACTTCCAGTGAAAATAGGTCCTTCTGTCTTGATCTCGCTGATTCTTCGATACCCAAACATTATCAGCGTGAAGCTACATGGTCATAGGTAATTAATACAATATCATAAGACTCTTCTTATCTAGCGAGTGAAAACTTGCCGAACTGCCGAGTCAAATTTTTGATTCGATCATCGCTAACCCACAGTCGCTCACTTGGGCTTCATCCTTTCTGAGAATAAACTACTCTTGTCCTAGCTATTTGAAAGTTCATCCACTGATAGTCCGTTCACAGCATCGCCTTTGCCTCCCTAGGAAGCGTTCATGCTTCGAAGTCTAACTGCTAATCTAGTCGCGTTGTACGGAGCTGAGTTATGGCTTGCGACTAAAGAAGCTGAAGTCCGCTCCAGCGTTGAGCCGGTATCAAGCGTATGGATCGGATTCGCGAAGATGAGATACGCAAGGAATTAGGCGTAACCCCCCCATAGTTGATAAAAAGGAATCTTGTCTTCGATGGTGTGGTCAACACCTGCGGTGCAGGTGAACACTGTCTGTAAGACTGCTCTTCACTTCGGGGTGCATTGAAAACGCTCGAAAGTATGCTCCAAGCAACGCTGGCTTGACAACGATGGCTTGACGGATCTGAAGTCAGTTGGCACCCACCCAGAGTAAGCATTCCATCGAGGA